TGCATGGCAAATCCAGTCTCGAAAAGCATCAACTGCTATAGCTTGGAGAAGGGGTATACGTGTGTGTGGATTTCGGTCATACACTTTACATCTCCAGGGAGAAAAAAAATCCTCAATAGGTTTGAGGAATGGAGAATATGGAGAGGGAGATGAACAACTAAAAAAAAAATGAGTTGGCCGAGAACCAGTTATGAACCAGATGAGCTCTGATTTCTAAATTGTAATTCTGTGTGACAGGTGTTTACTCATGTGATGAGTTAGTATGCAAAGTAGGACAACTGACTTTAGAATTGTGAATGACAGTGTGTTCCTTCTGAAAACAATAGATTTTCTGCATTAAACTGTGCAAAATGCAGAGAATTGTCTGTAGTGTTTTTAAAAAAAAAGGTGTTTTAATCCTGCAATTTGGGTGTAAAGCAGGAATTGTGCTTGTAATTTAGCAGAGATGGTTCAGGGGGTTGGTGCATGTTACATGTTGTAGTCATTGTGTCTGAAGTACAATTAATTGTGTGTAAACAATTGGAAAAACCTGTAAGGTTTTGAGTTTTTTTAAGAAACAGACTGCTAAACAGCTCGCTGCGTAAACACTTGTAACTCTTAAGAAGAAGCAATTCTGGCACCTGTACATTTGGCACTACATGAACCCAGGATGTCTTGTTTACTAAACAGGCACTTTGACCAACTAAGCGACAGCGCTAACGCTGAAAAGGGAAAGATGATTTTGCACAAAGAAACTAAAAAAAAGACAGCAAGTCTTAAAATGGCAACCAAAAGAGGTTGTTTAACTGTAAGAGACATTTGCCCGATAACAAAAATTGATGAAGAAAAAACAATCCCAGCCGGCACACGACCGACCTTCAACGTTGAAATATGGTTGAAATAAGGTCAGATGTGTTTTGAACGTTGAAATAATGTTGATAGAACATTTAATGTTGAACGATTGAAAAACAGCCTGCATATGACCAGGCTTCAACGTTGAAATGTGGTTGAAAATACGTCAGTAGTTGCTTTAATGTTGAAACAATGTTGAATGATAAATGGTTTAAAAAAGTTACAGAAATCCTTGTACAAATCAACGTTGACATTTTTTTATCATGATCTGTATGTTGAATTAACGTCATGGCTTCACCCAATATTCAACATGTTTGGTTACCATGGTATCGGAGGACTCGGCGCACGCGGCCACGCGCAGCGCTTCACTTCACTTAATTACGAACACCTGACCTGCAGTGCAGCAGAATTCAGAGGTAAGCGTGTTTTTAGATGCTTTAATGTTTTATTTACCCCCCGATTTTGTTTTACACACAGTGTATCTTAAACGTGACTTTTGAGGTGTAGTGTTTCGAATTTTAAAGCGCTCCGGTGACGCAGCAGCTAACCTCGAGGTAATGTCACATGTTTAACGTTAGTCTAAAGCGTTTTTATGGCAAATTCAAGAGCGATAAACTCCAAACGCAGTTTAAAGTTACTGAGCAACGTTATAAAACAATATCCTTTTATACGCTGCATCATTAGTGTTATTATTACAAAGTGAACTGCTGTCGTTTCACTGTTGTTGTTGTTTTTGCTTTTAGACATGTAACTTACTCCAGAGACGCACTAACTTGCACAGCATTGAATGGAAAAGGCTTTGTCCATGTAAGTTTACTTTACCTTTAACTAGGCTATCTGTTGAATCTTATTGGTGCTTTGGCTGGTAATATTCTCTTTCTAATTTGTTTGTTTATTGATTGTTAGGCTATGTTGCGATATTAGCCTATATTGTTATATTGATATTATTATTGTGAAATCATGTTGTGATGTTATACTATGTGACAGTATTGGGGAACAAATATGTATTTAGTGAGAAATTAATGCTTAAATTACAGTTTGTATAGTAGCAGATAAGAGGTGTAATGGGTTTTAACTTTCTGGGTTTTCTGGAAGGTCCAGTTGAGGGGCATCAAGAACACGCAGATGGCCTAAACCTGTGTCAGCCTGGACAGACTGCAGTTCTGCTACTCCACGCCAAGGCGTTTGTATGGATGTCTGACTACTACTGTGTTCTCTAAACTAGGTATTACTGGAGCAAAACAACAGCATCCGTTACAGTGAAATTTGTATTCATAAAAATAGTGATACATGTGTAGCAGGTCCAGTACATGTGATGTCATTGAGAAGTTGTTTTTATTAAATGTCATTAAAACAAATAAATAAACATGCTATTTAAATAAATCTTAATATTAAAAACTTGAGGATTAAGAGGAGAAATGAAATGCATCATCTGTCTTGCGAAAAGGGTCTACTTAAGAATTCTGGTGTTTTCCAACTGAAAGGGATAGTTCACCCAAGAATAAAAAATTTACTCACATTTTACTCCCCAAATGGTTTAAAACCATTATGAGTTTATTTTGTTGAACACAAAAGATGCTATTCTGAAAAAAAAAACTAAAAACCTGTAAACATTGATAGTAGATGGTTATAGATTTCCAGCTTTCTTCAAAATATCTTTTTTTGTGTTCAACGTGGTCAGTAAATGACGACAGAATACAAATTTTAAACTATCCCTTTAATTTTCTGTCCTACATGCAGACTTTTGCACAAGTGCTACTCCTTCTAGAGTTTTTCTCAACCCGTATGTCTAAAAAGCTTTAAACAGCTTTTACAGTACATGTAATGGTTTACAACAACTTGTAATTATTAGATGTGTTGAATGTTTCATGATTCTTTACTGCAGCCTTTGTTAAAAAAAAAAAAAAAAGTAATTTTTTTGAGAATCTGAAATTTGAATTCTGGAAATGCTGGCACCGGTGGTGGCGAAGGGCTTCCTGACGATATCACACCTAATTCTTCACTTCTCTTAGTTAGGAATATTCAGATGGATGAGTCAAAATTATTGAGTGTGGCGATTATTATAAGACAAATTCGGATTCAATTAAAAATAAATATTTGAATTTCACTTTGTATAATAGCAGATACCAACTTAGTTGTAACCTCGTATTTCATTTATTGCAGGTTTTCTGGAAGCTTCATTTGAGGGCATCAAGGACATACTGATGGCCTGAACCAGTGTCAGCCTGGACAGACAGACATCTATTGCAGTTCTGCTACACAAGACCAAACTCTCTGCTTTTGTATGGATGTCTGACTAGTATGGTGTTCTCTGAAGGTATTACTGGAGCAAAACAATAGCATCCGTTACAGTGAAATTTGTGTTCATAAAAGATAGTGATATGTGTAACAGGTCCAGTACATTTGTCATAAAGGTTAAATCACAGTAAGTACTGTATAACTTGTTTGCCTTTGCCACAACAGGTCATGGTGTGTGCTTACTGCTCGTAGTAAACACACACGCTGATCTGATGCGGGAGAGATATACGCAAACACATTTGTATTTACTGTTTTGTTTTGCCTCACTAAAGTGTTGTTGGAGCTTGGTAGGTTCACAGTTGAAATCACTGAAGTCACATGGAACGTTTTGACAATGTGTTTTGTGCCTTTTCTTGACAATGACCATCTTGAAACTATTGCTGTCTGTAGAGGATGAGGAGCATTTAATCTAAAATATTTTAGTTTGTGTTTTGAAGATTAACAGGTCTCTGGGATGACACAAGTACTTAATAACAGAACCTATATGAACACTTAATGTGACATGTAATAGTGAAATAGTGGTCCTACATTCACAAATGTGAGCCATTATTATAAGACCCATGTGAACATGCAATTTTTATGATACTACTAATAATAATGGAATAACAAATTGCTTTTACTGTTGTGTTTGTGAGAGAGAATCAAACCATATATTCTACACATTTTCTTGATGATTTACTGAAATATTTGTCTACATGTTCCACTGTCACAGGTGCTCAGTTTTGCTGCAGTAATGCTAAACACAATAGATGTACTTTATGCAAAAAAACAACAACAAAAAACTACTAAATATTTAGCATGCAGACATGCAAAGTGAAGGAGTAATGTCAGGTTTAGATTATAGCTTGAGTTTTCACTATTGTGAAAGTGAAGCCATTCATTCACAATGAATTGGAATAGCAAACCTCATTATTGATTTTGTAGGAAACTCACCTGGTGTTTGAGAAATAAATATGTATTTAAGTGCTAGACTGATATAGATGTTTTAGTTTTACACTTGATTCTTTGTCCCCAGTGCCATCTTTTACCTCAAGTGTTTCTCTCAACCTATAAAACCTCAAACAGATGTAATGTATTTCACTTGTGATTCTTAGTTGTGAGTGATGTTTTTTATTTTATTTTTTACTGCAGCCACTTTAAAAATGGGTATTTTGTAAACTTTGTAAACGGAATTGTATTTTGGAGACTGTGATGGTTGAAGCGTAGTTTAGTTACTTAGTTTAATTTAGTTAGTATCTGTCTTTCTGAAGACGGTAACACTTTACAATAAGGTTGTATTAGTAAGTGTTAATGTATTTACTAACATGAACAAAGAACAATAAAGCATCTTTCATATAAAGAAAGTACAGTTCATGTCAGCTCAGTGCATTGATGTTAACAAGCATACATTTTGATTTTAATAGCATCGGGACATATTTCAATTAATTAAATGATTAATAAATGCTGTACAAGTATTTGTTCTTTGTTCATGTTAGTAAACTTTAACTTTAATTCATGAAACCTAATTAAAAAGTGACTAATTGTATGCCTTTTTCTGTATTTGAGTGTACAGCATGTATAGTAACCTGCATGGTTTTAATGAACTATGTATGCTGTAAATGTTGCTGTATATTTAGAATAATTGAAATAATGAGGTGTGTATTAAATAAATTGATACACAGGCTAAGTTGTGTATTTGTGTCGTGTATCTTTAATTAGTAAAAATGTGTTTGCTATATTTATGGACTTTGCGTTGTATGTAATTTCTATTTAACTTACGTTGAAATGTATGACGGTGAAACAACGTCACGGTATCAACGTTGATCCAATTTGCAAAATCGAAAGGTAATTCAACCTTCATTCAACGTCTACAAAACGACCATAATTCACCCATGAAAAAGGTAAGAGTGAAACAACGTTGTGATTTCAACGGTGAATCACCGGTGGTGGTCCGACGGTGAAACAACGTCACTATATAAACGTTGATCCAATTTGCAAAATCGAAAGGTAATTCAACGTTGATCCAACCATAGACCTGACGTTGATTCAACGTTGAATCACCGTTGAAATGCCGGCTGGGATAAAACACAAAAACCAGCATGTCAGGATGCAGAAAATGGAAAATCTGGACAAACATATGCTATTGGCCATTGAAAGATTTTCAGATCAGAAAGCCACTCTCCCATAATCTGAGGGAAAGGTGCAGTTTGGATTTGAACCTAGCACCTGCTGTTCCCAAGACAGGTGCTCTGGCCAACTTAGTCTTAACACTAAAAGAAAAAACCAAAACGCAGTTTCATCTAAGACAGTGGGGGGGGAGCAAAATTTACTATGCTTTCTACTCAGTTACTTTGCACATGCATAAAGAGGGTTTTGTACGACAAACCCAAAAGGCTTGATCTCAACAATAGGTGGCAGTTACTTTTCCCCAAAATCACAGGTTGCCTTCGAGCCTTTTTTAAGCCCACTCTGCCCTGCACCGCTTTCCAATCTCCCTTATTTAAAACATCTCAATTAAGTCATCAGCTTCATTGTAGAGTACCCCTAGTATCTGAGCCTGCACTGCGCAATGAAAGAAAAAAAGCAAAACTGGATGGACAGATGCCTATAATGATGGAAACGCACCACTCCTAACTCAGTGAAGAAAATGGATAATGCTTGCGACTCGAACCCACAACCTTTTAATGACTCAGCTCACAGCCTAGAAGTCCACTGCGCTATCCATTGCGCCACAAAGCCTGAGTACTCTCTGACCCATAAAAGAACAGCTCACTGCAAACAAGTCACTGCTGGGATTCAAACCCAGGATGTCCGGTTTACTAGACAGGCACTTTGACCAACTAAGCCACAACGACAGACAAGGACAATTTGTTTTGCCCCTGTCTTACAACAGTAGCGCTGCACGTGTGAATGTCTCGACTTGAAATATTAAAGTCCAATTGGTTACACATTACCCCACCATGCGATATAAAGCCATTGTCCAAAGCCCTCTTCAACGAGCAGCGTTCTTAAGGATTTGAGTTTTGTTAAGAAACAGACTGTCAGTGTGTTCCTTGTGAAAACAAAAGATTTTTTTGCATGAAAATTGTGTAATATGCAGAAAATTGTGTGTAGTGTTTTGAAAAAAGTGTGTTGTAAACCTGCAATTTGAGTGTAAAGCAGGAATTGTGCTTGTAGTTTAGCAGAATTGGTTCAGGGGGTTGGTGCATCAGTTACACATGTTGTAGAAATTGTGTCTGTAGTACAAGTAATTGTGTGTAAACAACTAAGAAAAAACTGTAAGTCATCAGCTTCATTGTAGAGTACCCCTAGTATCTAAGCCTGCACTGAGCAATGAAGGAAAGAAGCAAAACTGGATGTACAGATGCGTAAAATGATGGAAACTCACCACACCTGAGTCAAGTGAAGAATAGGGGCAAAACTTGCGACTCTGGTGGGACTCGAACCCACAACCTTTGCATGACTCAGCTCACAGCCTAGAAGTCCGACGCTATTGATTGCACCGGAGAGCTTGAGTGCTCCAGCACTGTTCCACAGAAAGCACTTTTTGGTACTCTCTGGCCTATAAAAGCCAATCGCACTACGGACTAGGCACTGCTGGGGTTCAAACCCAGAATCTTCTGTTTACTAGAGAAGCACTTTGACCAACTAAGCCACAGCGTCAGACAGGAGCTAATTGTTTAATCAAAAAAAGAAAAAAAAACAACTTACAGCGGTAGCGCTGCATGTGTGAATGTCTGGACTTGAAATATTAAAGTCTAATTGGTTAGGCATTACCACACCATGTTTTATAAAGACATTGTCCAAAGCCCTCTTGAACGAGCAGCGTTCTTAAGGATTTGAGTTTTGTTAAGTACCACACTGCTAAACAGCTTGCTGCGTAAACACTTGTAAATCTTGAGAAGAAGCAACTCTGGAAACTGTACATTAGGCACTGCTGGGATTCGAACCCAGGATCTCCTGTTTACTAGACAGGCACTTTGACCAACTAAGCCACAGTAACAATGCTGAAAACAGGGCTAGACGTTTTTGCACAAAGAGACTAAAAAAAGACAGCCAGTCTTAAAATAGCAACCAAAGAGGTTGCTATTTATTGATTAGCAAACCATGTTATGCCATACCTCTCAACACTGGGATGTAAAAATATGGGACAACAATTAGCTTTAAAAAGAAGACATAGCAAACATTAGAAAATATTAACAATAACACGAAATATTTTGCCTAATAAAACCAATGGCCTATACAGAAAATAAATAAAGTTATAAAATCCCATTCACTTTTTACTGAATTTAAATTTTGATTAGCATTACTACAGTTATTTAGTGAAGAGCAGCAATCTCTTATTTTGTTTTTTGATAACAGAGGTGTTACTGTAATGTCGAGTTCAGACTGCGTGATTTTAGCCCCGATTTTGGCTCGCCGACAGGTTTTGGGAAATCGCCGACAAATGCCTGAAATCACAGGCAAATCGCCGCTTGTGCACGTGAGTGACAATCACACAGTATGAACTATCAAAGACGCGATCTGAGAGAATCGCAGATAAGTCGCCGATGCCTGTGAGATATTTGGCATGCTGAATATCTGGAGCTGTCGGCGATTTAAATCATGCCATGTGAATTGAGTTTTGACTGAAAATAACATCAGCGATCGCCTACAGCCAATGAGAGAGCAGCTTTCACTTGTGTGTGCGTGTGTGTATACCTGCTGCAGGCCAGCGGGAGGCTGGGGAGAAGTTAAAAGCGCTCTTTTTCGGTTTATTTGGACCCACGAAATGGAGGAAAAACTAGTGGAGGTTTGACAGGACTCAGGAGCAACCGTGTCTGTTTGACGTTTCATACAGAAAGAAATTAGTTTATTATCAACGTTGAGGAGAAATGGCTAATTCCCTTTAAACCCAGGTGAGCAAACATGTACATGCTCTACCCCATTAAAGGCTTCTTTCTCATTATGTAGTTAATAACAAAAGATATACTACGTGTTTTTGGCTGAGACGTAGTTTGGACGAAGTTGTCAGCGATTCTTCCTATAGTAAAGTCATGCAATGTGAATGTCCCAGTCGCCGATCAATCTTGCAGTGTAAACAAAGCAGCGATGAAACGCTAGCCCAGATAGTCAAGCAGTGTGAAAACATCTGTGACACAATCACTTTGAAAATCATGCAGTCCGAACTCGGCATAAGAATGCACAGATCTATAGGCTAATGAAAGCATTCGATTAGTTTAGTAACTGTTTGTGCTCATTTAAGAAAAAAAAAATGTTGTGTTTTTAAAAATAATACAAGCAGAACAAACATGTTTACATATTATTAAATGTATGTGTCTGTTTAAACACACATAAATCCCCAAAGTATGCTAAACTTTCGCTCATCTTTAAATTGCGTGTACAGAAGCGGATCTGGGAACAGTATATCATACAGAGCACGTCCAGTAGTCAGACTGCATGCATACACTGATTCAGGGGTTGCGTCGATCGACGCACAGCTTTAACAGGAAAAAAGTGAATGCAGACATTTTTATTAACATTCTTTCAAGCCAAAATAAAGCGAAAGCACAATTCTCTTGCACAGCTCTTGCAATGTATATCACATTTGAGATCGGCTCTGTTTTGACAGTACTTTCACTATTCATAGAAAGTTTAAACATACAGGGCAACTACGGGGAAATACTTAAACTTGATGATAGCTGGGAAAACCGGAGAGTTGACAAGTATGTGTCTAGCTAATTAATGGCGTCATCGATCACGGATACAGTAAAATAATCATCTTTGTTGTAACATTACCTCTGTCTTTGTCGCGTTTTTCCTCCTCTTCTTGTGTTATTTTTTTTTTTTTGCCTCCCCTGCGCACTAGACTGTTTGAGAGGGTTTGGGACGTTTTGACATATTAAGCATGTTGACCCATCAAAAAAAATGAACACCGTAGCAGGTACAGTCTAATTATTCAGAGGGGGGCGTCTTAGGCGAGTAGGTTTTATTATTATTATACTACTACTACTTAGTAGGCTATGCACTATGCAGTTATATTAATGTGGGCTTATTCTTTTCTGAATTCATACCAACTAGTTTTAAGTATAGTGGAAGTTACTTTTTTTCTTCTCCCATTTCTGGCGCCCCCCTGGCTGTACTGCGCCCATAGCAATTGCCTATACTGCCTATGCCACGGGCCGGCCCTGCTGTGATTGATAATGTGACATTAGAATTTAACAACTCATTCTTAAAGCCAAATTGCTTAATTTGTGAACTTTTTGTACTTGGGGTTTAGTTGCACTGAAACATGATCTTATGTCTATTTTCTCTGTCATTTTATCCAATACATTAAACTGCCAGGCAAGTTTCTTTATACTGTAGCACATTTTATACACAATGGTAATTCAAAGTGCTTTATATAAAGAATGCAAAACTATTATTAAAATAATCACAAAAATAATCACAAAGAATTAAAAAATTTTTAAATTTTTTCACATTTTAATTTTAAATTAATTGATTCACTTAACAACAGAATAGAAATTGATTATACAAAAATACAGTGGGGTTAGTTTGGATGTAGCACAGTGCTCATTAAGCAAATACACTGCTAGACAAAATGCTTATTGTGGTCCTTAATGTAAAGTAAACATTATGCCAAGTCTTCACAAACGAAACAACACATGGGAAACGGCTTTAGCTTAAGTAGCTAATACTTAATTATACCGAATACTTAATAACTAAGTAACTAATACAGCAGATTTACGCCTGTTCTTCTAATATGATTTTGCTATTTAGAGTTTGCAAATAACACTTTTTATGAAATTATGTTATTAAGGGGAAAGTCCGAATGTGCGAATATAAAACCAACTTTACTTCTATAAAAACATGGAAGAAATGTATCAATAATTCATGATGACTGCAACAGTAAGTGGAAAAA